ACTCTGAATTCCCAGCAAAATCTGCCCAGAATTCCGGCCAAAATCTGCCCCAAATTCCCGCCAAAATTTGCCTGGAACTCCCACCAAAATCCGACCTGGATTCCTGCCAAAATCCACCTGAGATTCCCGCCAAAATCTGCCCCAAATTCCCGCCAAAATCGACTCTGAATTCCCAGCAAAATCTGCCCCAAATTCCCGCCAAAATCCACCCAGGATTCCGGCCAAAATCCACCCCGGATTCCCACCAAAATCCACCCCGGATTCCCACCAAAATCTGCCCAGGATTCCCGCCAAAATCCACCTGCGATTCCTGCCAAAATCCACTCCGAATTCCCAGCAAAATCTGCCCCAAATTCCCGCCAAAATCCACCCAGAATTCCCACCAAGATCCTCCCAGGATTCCCACTGGGATCTGCCCAGGATTCCTGCCAAAATCCACCCAGAATTCCCACCAAGATCCTCCCAGGATTCCCGCCAAAATCCACCCAGAATCCCCACCAAAATCCGCCTGAGGTTCCCACCACAATCCGTCCAATATTCCCACTGGGATCTGCCCAGGATTCCCACCAAAATCCACCCGCAATTCCTGCCAAAATCCACCCTAAATTCCTACCAAGATCCTCCCAGGATTCCCACTGGGATCTGCCTGGAATTCCCACCCAAATCTGCCTGGAAATCCCCGCAGGATCTGCCCAGAATTCCTGCCAAAATCCGCCTGGAATTCCCCACAGGATCCACCCCGACATTCCCAGTGGGATCTGCCTCCCTGATCCTGGGTTTTTGTCCTAAATCCTGGGTTTTTATCCCATATCCCGGCTCCAAAGCCCTGTTTTTTATCCCATATCTCAATTCCCGTTTTTTTTCTCATATCCCGCTCCAAATCCAGGGGCTTTATCCCATAGCGCACATCCCATATCACATACACCAATCCTGTTTTTTTTATCCCATATCCCATTTCCCATATCCCAATCCCATATCCCAATCCCAATCCCATATCCCATATCCCATATCCCATATCCCAATCCCATATCCCATATCCCAATCCCATATCCCATATCCCATATCCCATATCCCATATCCCATATCCCATTTCCCATTTCCCATATCCCATTTCCCATTTCCCATATCCCATATCCCATTTCCCATATCCCATATCCCATATCCCATATCATCCCATATCCCAAATCCCAAATCCCATATCCCAGTCCCAGATGTTTATCCCATATCCCACTCCAAATCCTGTTTTTTTAACCCTTATTCCTGAACAACATCCCAGGCTTTTGTCCCATATCCCGGCTCCAAATCCTGGTTTTTATTCCATATCCCATATCCAAATCCCGAGTTTTTATGCCATATCCAAATCCCAGATTTTTATCCCATATCCCAGCTCCAGGGCACATTCCCAGTTCCGCAGGAATGCCCCCAGACATTCCCGCCTTGATCCTGTATTTTTATCCCCTATCCCAATCCCAATTCTGTTGTTTTATCCGTATCCCATATCCCGTATCCCAATCCCAATCCCAATCCCACTGTTTTTTATCCCAATCCCGCTGGTTTTTATCCCAATCCCAATCCCAATCCCAATCCCAATCCCAATCCCAATCCCACTGTTTTTTATCCCAATCCCAGCTCCTGGACGAGCCGCAGTTCCCAAATCCCATATCCCATACCCCAATCCCATATCCCATATCCCATACCCCATATCCCAATCCCATATCCCAATCCCAATCCCGCTGTTTTTCAATCCCAATCCCAATCCCAGCTCCTGGACGAGCCACGGTTCCCATATCCCGTATCCCATATCCCAATCCCGCTGTTTTTTATCCCAATCCCACTGTTTTTTCCCCCAATCCCAGCTCCTGGACGAGCCGCGGTTCCCATATCCCAATCCCAATCCCAATCCCAATCCCGCTGTTTTTTCCCCCCAATCCCAGCTCCTGGATGAGCCGCGGTTCCCATATCCCATATCCCATATCCCAATCCCAATCCCAATCCCGCTGTTTTTTCCCCCAATCCCAGCTCCTGGATGAGCCGCGGTTCCCATATCCCATATCCCATATCCCATATCTCAATCCCATATCCCATATCCCATATCTCAATCCCATATCCCATATCCCAATCCCATATCCCATATCCCATATCCCAATCCCGCTGTTTTTTATCCCAATCCCGCTGTTTTTTTCCCTATCCCAATCCCAGCTCCTGGACGAGCCGCGGTTCCGCTGCATCACCAAGATCAAAACCATCGGCAGCACGTACATGGCGGCCTCGGGGGTGACACCAGACACCGACACCTTTGGCGCCAAGGTGAGCACCGGGAATGCCGGGAAAGGTGATCCCGGGAATTCCGGCCTGGTTCCGGGAAAAGGCGGGAAAGGTGATTGCCGGGAATCCCATACCCCAATCCCATATCCCATTTTTCCCCAGACCATCTCCCCCCATAAGCGCTGGCAGCACTTGGCTGGGTTATCAATCCCATACCCCAATCCCATACCCCGATCCCATTTTTTATGGGATTATCCCTCTCTCCCCCAGGCTGTTTCCCCTGTGAGCGCTGGCAGCACTTGGCCTGGTTATCAATGCTATATCCCATATCCCATACCCCAATCCCATATCCCATATCCCAATCCCATTTATTTATAGGATTTTTTCCCTCTCTCCCCCAGTCCGTCTCTCCCCGTGAGCGCTGGCAGCACTTGGCCGGGTTATCAATCCCATACCCCAATCCCATATCCCATACCCCAATCCCATATCCCATATCCC